CATCGAGTCCAACCCCCTGCTCAGGCAGGAAACCCTACACCATTTCAGACAAATGGCTGTCCAGTCTCTTCTTAAAAACTTCCAGTGTTGGAGCATTCACCGCTTCTGGAGGCAGGTTGTTCCACTGGTTAATTGTTCTAACTGTCAGGAAGTTTCTCCTTAGTTCTAGGTTGCTTCTCTCCTTGGTTAGTTTCCATCCTGTTGCTTCTTGTCCTGCCTTCAGGCGCCTTGGAGAATAGCTTGACTCCCTCTTCTTTGGGGCAGCCCCTGAGATACTGGAACACTGCTATCATGTCCCCCCTCGTCCTTCTCTTCGTTAAACTAGACATACCCAATTCCAGCAACCGTTCCTTATATGTTTTAGCCTCCAGTCCCTTGATCATCTTTGTTGCTCTTCTCTGCACTCTTTCTAGGGTCTCAACATCTTTTTTACATCGTGGTGACCAAAACTGGATGCAGTATTCCAAGTGTGGCCTTACTAAGGCATTGTAAAGTGGTATTAATACTTCATGTGATCTTGATTCTATCCCCCTGTTAATGCAGCCCAGCACTGTGTTGGCTTTTTTGGCAGCTGCAGCACACGGCTGGCTCCTATTTAAGTGATTGTCCACTAGGACTCCGAGATCCCTCTCACAGTTACTTCTATTGAGCAAGGTACCCCCTATACTATACCTGTACATTTGGTTTTTCTTGCCTAAATGTAGAACCTTACTTTTTTCACCATTGAATTTCATTTTGTTAGATAGCGCCCAGTGTTCAAGTCTGTCCAGATCCTACTGTATCCTAAGCCTGTCTTCTGGAGTGTTGGCTATTCCTGCCAGCTTGGTGTCGTCTGCAAATTTGATGAGTTCCCCATCTATCCCCTCGTCCAAATCATTGATGAAGATGTTGAAGAGCACTGGGCCTAGAACAGAGCCCTGGGGCACCCCACTGCACCCAACCCAACAGGACTCTTCTCCTGGGTTCTGCCACTCCTTCCTGTACACCTATAGAACCGATTTGCCATTACGACATTAATGTTGAGTTAATCTCATAAGATGATCTGTTTGTTTGATAACATGGATGTGATTAGTTATGAAAATTAGCTGGATGAAATTTGAATTCTGTCAAATGGATTGAAATGATTTAAGGTTGGACTTTATTTTGTCAGTTTAAAGAGATTGATGGATGGATGGATGGATTAGATACGTATAGGATAGATTAATATTTTATTTTAAATAAGGGATATTAGTGGAAGAAGAAATAAATAAGATCTGTGGATAAAATTAAGGAATTAGAATATATTTGGAAGGGATACCCGAATTGATAATGTTTGTACTTAAAAGTTATTTTGATTATGGTAGTGTAAATTTATAAAGCTTTAAAAACAGGTTTAGGTTGAATAAATTTAAGCTAGAATTGCATTATTTTAAATAAAATACGTTACTTAAGGGAAAAAGAGAGGGAATATTTGATGTATTGATTGAATTATGTATATATGTTTTGTCTGCGGATGTTTGACCACCCTAACACCACGGTGTGTCTTGAGTACTTTGTTTTAAAAATTAAAAAAAACAATAAAACTTGTCTTTAAAAAAAAAAAGAACTGATTTGCCCTGGAGATTTGGATGGCCTTGATACTTCCAGAAGTCCTCCAAGACCTGGCTTTTCTCCATATCAATGGTGCTCTGGAATGGGGGGGGGGGTCTGTTTTTTAAACTGATTTGGATAATGCACTAACTAAGTTTTTAAATCTTTGCTCGCTGCCCAAAAGTTCTACTGGGGAGATGGATGGGCAAAGAAACTTGTTTAATAGATAAATAAAATGCTAAACATTTTAACATTATTATTTTTTTAGCATTTTACCTTCATTCCCCCTCCCCTCCTTCTTGAGAATACGAAAGGGCATTAGATACAAGCTGCGGTGCCCTCATTTGGTAGACCTTCAAGTCTTCGATGCTCCAGTTAAGACTTTAAAATCTCTTTTATGTTGGACTTAAAGATTGATACAGAGGAGTATTTTCTGCACGGAAAATCAGAATTTATCATAATGTTAATTGCAATGGCAATAGTACTTAGACTTTATAGTACTTTACAGCCCTCTCTAAGTGAGCATATTTGCCTCCAACAATCTGGGTCCTCATTTTACCGACCTCAGAAAAAATGGAAGGCTGAGTCAACCTTGAGCCGGTCAGGATCGAACTGATAGCAGTCGGCAGAATTAGCCTGCAATACTGCATTCTAATCACCGCTTAGATTTCTTTTTCTTATACAATTTTGGATGCCAAGTCTCCGTTTTGAGTACAGCTCATGGTCCACTCAGATCAATGACACAATTTCCATCCATAGAAATGGTTCTAGATCACGTTCATCAGTGACCTACTAAGAAAATCTGCAGTCAATAGCAATTTTTTTTTGTTAGTCTACCCCCAAATAGCCAGATAGGAGAAAACAAATCTGGAAAACGCTACCACTGAAAAACTTTGTTTAAACAAAGACCAAAACAAACGCGAATCTTCTTTCTGCCACTGTGAAATGTCAGTTCTTGTACAATGTAATCCAAATGAAATCACAAGCATATATATATATATATATGTCAACATTCTGATTTTCTTTGGCATCTGGCAAACGAAAGCTTTTAGAAATGCAGCGTATTATCCAATACTCCCCTATACATTTATCGTATAAGTGGTTGATAAATCTTTCAGGAAGTCCTTCAGAATTTAAGTTCAACTTTCTGGTTTCCGAGCACTTTGACCGTTCAAGGTTCTTCTCCAAATAATCAAAGTTCTCATTAAAAAAAAAAAAGTGACGGTGACCAAAGGAAAGAGAAGGAAAAAAATCACTATTTCCTTAAAACACATTCACATTCTTTAGCCCGATTTGCAAAAGGCCATTTAAAGGAGCAAATGACCTCAAACAAAACCGCTTCTCTTGTGGAGAATTTGACCAACAGGGAGAAGAATTTGACCAACAGAGAGAAAGGAAAAAAAAAAAAGCCGGTTCAACTTATCTTGGTGCAATTTTAACAAAGTGGCCTTTTTGTTCCCAGAAATAAAGGCCCAACACATACATAGTGCTTTATTTTCTTCAAAGCCACTGCGGCATCCCCACTGTGAATGGCCTGGCTATGGAATGTATCTGCCCTCTGGCAATTCATTTTGCTTTGAACATTAGGTCTGGGTGTGGGGGTAGACATGGGGGAGGAGATCCCACTTAACCCTTAAAAGATTAGTTTTGGAGAATTGACTCCCAAAATTCCGGACTTGGATAAACATTGAAGCCATTAGTAGATGAGTCTTCCTCTTGAAGATTCCCAAGTCCATTAGATTACGCTTTCTATCCGTTTTACTGATCCGTAGCCCATCTTTACTATTTTTATGAATATCTCAAGACGGTGAACATGTCCAACACACCGTCCTTCTCCTATTTTTCCCATAACAACAACAACAACTATGAGGTGAGTTGGGTTGAGAGAAAGAGACTGGCCCAAGGTCATCCAGCTGGCTTTCATGGATAAGGCAAGACTAGAACTCATGATCTCCTGCTGACTGACCCAAAGTCATCCAGCCAGCTTTCGTGGTTAAGGCAAGACTAGAACTCATGATCTCCTGGTGACTGACCCAAAGTCACCCAGCCAGCTTTCGTGGTTAAGGCAAGACTAGAACTCATGATCTCCTGGTGACTGACCCAAAGTCATCCAGCCAGCTTTCGTGGTTAAGGCAAGACTAGAACTCATGATCTCCTGGTGACTGGCCCAAAGTCACCCAGCCAGCTTTCGTGGTTAAGGGAAGACTAGAACTCACGATCTCCTGGTGACTGACCCAAAGTCATTCAGCCAGCTTTCGTGGTTAAGGCAAGACTAGAACATGATCTCCTGGTGACTGACCCAAAGTTACCCAGCCAGCTTTCATGGTTAAGGCAGAACTAGAACTCAC